AACATGATCCACAACTGGGGGGCACGTGCCCCCTTACAAACATGTTTTCAAATTATTTTAATTTTTAATAAAAATATTTTTTAAACATTAGTTATTTCATGAATATAATGAACTTTACTTAAATTTTAGTGATTTTAGATTGAGATTTATTAGACTAGTTTAATGATTATAAAATAAAAGGAAAAACCATTTATTTTTCTTCCTCTTCTTAATCCATTAAAAAAAAACTTTGTGAAAACAGAGCACAGTTTTAGAAAACCAGAAAGCACAGGCTGCCTTTTTAGCCTCCTTTGTAATTTGTTCTTCAATAGCTTTTAAATGAGAGCTTTTACTGAAATTAGTAGTCATTTCTTCTTTTTGTTCTGACTTTGTTACAGTTCTTGCTCCCTCTCTCCCTCTCTCTCTCTTCTCTCTATCTCTCTCTCTTCATTTTTCTTTGTTAAGAGAGACCAAACTGTAACGAGAGAGAGAGAGCAGTAAGGGAGTAGTTCTACAAGATCCAATTCTTGAAAATGCAATAGTTGCTCAGTTCGGCAAGGAGCTCCTCTTTCATTTATATATTTTTCTTTTTAGAAAATATTTTTCTATTCACATTTGCTTATGCATAAGAGGTAAACCTTACAAACATGTTTTCAAATTATTTTAATTTTTAATAAAAATGTTTTTTATACATTAGTTATTTCATGAATATAATGAACTTTACTTAAATTTTAGTGATTTTAGATTGAGATTTATTAGATTAGTTTAATGATTATAAAATAAAATTTAATCATACATACAAAAAATCAATCATAAAAATATATTTCTATTCATATATTCATATGAAATTCCTTGATATATATGAAATTAAATAAGAGATTTATAAACTTTAAATTTATATATTCATCTCACCCTCAAACAAAAATCACCCGGTAATGAGACAACACACAACTATTTTAATTTAGGCCCCCCCCCTGAATAAAATTTCTTCCTCCGCCACTGTCCACAACCATTGATTTTCTTAGAAAAAACTTGGTTCATCTCAATAATGAAACGGAATAATTGCATCAAATTTAAGTTTTATTTGTGATCATTTTTTTTCTTTTTTTTAAAATAAGTTTTTAGTGTAAAAATTTTAATTAAAAAAAAATATACTAAAAAACTGATTTAGAAAAACAATAAAAAAATATCCCAACTGAAGCCTTAGGCTTCGTTTGGGATAGCTCTTTTATTGCTTCTTAAAACAACTTTTTAGTACAAATATTAAGATTTTTGTATTAAAAATGTGTTATAAGAAGCAGTAAAAAAGCCGTTCCAAATAATCCCATAGTCTCAAGCTTCGTTTAGGATGGTTTTCTTACTACTTAAAGCAACTTTTTTTATAAAAAATAAAAATTTTATACTAAAAAACTGCTTTAAGAAGCAATAAAATCGCCGTCACAAATAAAGCCTCAGTCGAAAAGTTATAGCTCACCGAAGGATTGCACATATAACATTATGGCTTCGTTTTGGACAGCTTTTGGCCACTATTTTTTTCCTGTATTTATGAAATTTTTATATAAAAAATCGCCTTAGAAAATAATAAAACAACCGTCCCACAAGAAAACTAAATGTATAGTCATATTCAAAGAAAATATATTTATAACGTATTATATATAGTTGTAAACCATTATCAGTTATTATAGCAATGAGTTATCCGTAGTAATTTAAGCAGTTATGGAATAATAATAAGCTTATATAACTTATAAAAGATCAGTGCTTATCACTATACTGTAGTAGTTAACATTGCAAAGTATAGTGGTTTTGATAAAGTTGGTGTGTGCAATTATAACTTATCATAAGGGGCAGATCATAAACTCAGATAGACCGTTTAATAATACAATTACAAATATATTATAATATTCACAAAATACATACATATAATAAGTTTTTTTTTTTTTTTGACATTTAGGTTAATTAAAATAAATTCACACACACAAGACTCGAACATAATATATCTTAGTTGATAGCCAAAGCTTCGAACCAATAGGCTAAGATAAGCTGTGTGATAAGTTGTTTTTGATGTATGTTTTTTTTATACCATGAATGATTATGATAATATATATTTTGATGTTTAAAAATAATGGGATAATTAATGCACCACCAAAAAATTTGTCTGATATAATACGAACTTTTATGCAATATTGGAATTAGAAATTTTTGAGATTAAGTGTTTGGACCATCTGAACTCTGATTTCTTCGGATTTATAGGATCTATTTGGGCCAGGTTTCTAGCTTTTTTGCTTTACAGACAGCAACTATAAATTTATTTCGCTACTACTTTCTTATCACTTTCTCATATGTTTCATAAATTTCTTCGGTGGAAGGCTTCTTTTTGCAACTAGAATAGTAAAGTTACTTTTCTCATAATCAACTTTATAAAATATTACAATAGTAAAAAAAAGGCTTTGATGAGATAAGCCTAAGGACAAAAAAATGTATTGATCTGAGTCCAAAATGATCTTAATGAAGTACTCAAAGAGTCAAAGTATATGTTGAAATTTCATAATATTATTTGACGGACCAAATGATCTTCGAATCATATAAGCTTATAATCGGAGTGAGTGCCTGGACAAGAAGAATCTAACATGTTGAAGCTTAGTAATCACAATGTTATTAAAAAACTTAAATGTTTAAAAATTTATCCATCAAACAACATCAAGCCTTTATCCCTCTCTGTGAGATAAGTTACCTCATTTAAATTTAATAAAGAAATGTCATTTTTAATATTTTATAACCAAGTCTTTTTACGTCTACCTCTACCTTTCTTAAATATAAGTTAAATCTAATATATCTACTTTTCTAATTGGGTCATCGGAAGGCTGCTGTTTTATATGACCAAACCATTTAAGGCGGCTCTCTCTAATCTTATCTTCCACATAAGCTACTCCGAACTTTTCATCTATATGCTCATTTTGTATCTTGTCTTTAAAAGTAAAGCAACTCATCCAACTAAGCATCATCATCTCTGCAACACTTTATTTAATGCAATGATAAAAAAAAAAGAAAATCTAAAATCAAGAAAATTTACATGCATCATCCATGGACTATTTGAGGATTTTAATAGAATAATTAAAATGTAACTATTCAAATTCTATTGATTAGCCTTCATTATTCACGTTGACCGAGGGCCTAGACTAGGAGATATCTAAAGAATCATATAGATCTACCTTACAATTAATATCACGACAATCATCACTTGAACACCATTGCATAGCTTTCAAATACTTTGATACGCCTTATCACCAACAAGGCCAATACACACTATTGACACAAACATTGATACATACTATCACCATCAAAGTCGAAGCACATTACTGACATTAACCCAATGATCATTCTCACCAACAATAACTATATTTATGTTGTTGACACCAAAATTACATAACAAATAATAAATTTGATTTGACATTTAAGTTATGTAAATAAAATTATTATTATTTTTATAGGCAACAAAATGAATCGCTTGGCTACTTACAGTCGGGTTGTACACGAGTCAAGTCGAGCTCGAGTCATGCCTAGATCGACTTGCCTACCAAATCTTGAGCTCGAATGTGAGTCGAACTCAAAAGGTGAACTCAAGTTGGGCTTGTGGCACTGAAAAATGAGCTCACGAATAGCTCGTGAAAATCATGCCCTTACGTGATACCGCCAAAGAGGAAGAACACATGCCGCTGGAGAAGGAGTGTCGTCGCAGCATGTCTTGAGCTCACAATTTGACAAAAGAAGTCCCACGTGAGAAGGTTAGAAGAGGGAGAGATTATTATGTGTAAGGTTCAAATGTAGAGTTACGTCATGTACAAGGGAGTCCGGACATAGCTCTACGTCCAGACTCCACACGTAATAGTCTCTCCAAAAGATGAGTCTAATTTTTATTTTATTTTTTTTAAATTGCTTTGAAAATTGCTACAACCCTGTTAATATAAAGCAACAACAGTTCTCACTAGACATTTGCAAGAGGATGTACCTTGGTGCATGGTTTTTGGTGATGATATTCTTCTTGTTGAAAAGACTAGGAGGGGGTTGAAGGTAAACTTGAATTATAGAGGTCAACCTTAGAGTCTAAAGGTTTTCGATTGATTAGATCTAAAACAAAATATATGGAGTATAATTTTAGTAGTAATAGATCTAGTGAGGGGATTGTAACTTTGGACGATCAAATCATTAATAAGAGTACACATTTAAGATATCTTGGATCTATGTTCAGAGTGATGGTGAAATAGATGGTGATATTATCAGCATAATTCAATTGTATGGTTGAAATGGAGGAATGCATCGGGCTTCTTGTGTGATAGAAAAGTACCCCTCAAACTTAAGGGAAAAATTTATAAGATGGTGGTGAGGCCTGCAATGATTTATGGTGTCGAATGTTGGTCATTAAAAGAGAAGCATAATACTAAGTTAAGTGTGGCAGAGATGATGATGCTCAAGTGGATGAGTGACTTTACCCATAAAGATAGAATACGAAATGAGCATATACGTGAAAAGGTTGGAGTAGCTCCAGTAAAAGATAAGATTAGAGAGAGTCGCCTTAGATGGTTTGGTCACATAAAATGGCGGCCTTCCGATGACCCGATTAGGAAAGTAGAGATACTAAATTTGTCTTATGTTAAGAAAGGTCGAGACAGACTTAAAAAGACTTGGTTAGAAACTATTAGGAATGACATTTCTTTATTAGATTTAAATGAGAATTTGACTTTTAATAGGACGCAATGGAGAAAAAGTATTCATGTAGCCGACCCCACGTAGTGGAATAAAGGCTTGATTTTGTTGTTGTCGTCGTAGCTCTATTAATGTAAAGCAACTTTTTTATTTTCTTTGGGAACATAAAATATGTTCAAATCATGGTTTTTTATTGGATTAGCTTGCCGCTTTTTTCATTTCCAACAGATTTTTTTATTGGAAAAAATTATTTGCTGATTTATCTAAGAAAAATAATTTAATTAGTTATAAAAGTGCGGGAGCCCCCTCACAAGCTCGCGATTCGAGCTTGTGCTCGCTCCAGCCTGCCCACGAGCCGGCTAGGCTCAGTCAGTTTGACTTCCTGTTCAAGCCTTATGAAGTCTCGGCCTGTATCACCGGTCCCGGGGCAGAAATCAGAATCGCCGTTGCTTCAGCTCCGGCATCTTCTCTTCCATTTTACGTTACGATGGCGCCCAAAGTATTGATGGTGAGAGACTGACTACTTCTCCTCCTTTCTTGTTTTTGCTCGCCCCCACATTCACCTACCGTGTTCACCCTATTTGTATTAATTCTCTCGTCTGCAGGTTGCAGAGAAACCTAGCATCGCTCTATCCATTGCATCAGCGCTTTCCCATGGCCGGGTGAGTTCCTACTTCAAAAAATTAAATCTTTAGTTGATTACTCTATGGAAGCCCTGACAAAACCTGGAGAGTTGCTCCCTTTCGGCCTGTTTTTTTGAGCTCTTCTTACCAATTCGTCTTTTTGATCGTGCTTGCGAGGAATATGAACTTGAAATTTATTTATATTTGGGAAACGAAATATCTATCCATTCGCCATATTGATTGAGTTAAGTTTTGAGAAGAGGGACAGAAATTGCCTGTTTCAATGGCTGAATTCAGTGTTGCAACTAAGATCATCTCCAACTATTCGGCAAACAATCAAATGGAGGCCCTCATGAGTTGCAATCGAACGCCTTTTCCTCCGCCATTTAATCGCTGATGAACAGTGTGACGCCAATATTGGCGTTGCCCTATTCATCTGCGTCATTTTTTTGGTCTCTATCAAACTTGTGGAAGAAAGACGCGAAAGAAAAGAGCGATGGTTAGGGGGCAAAATGTCATTCGATTGGAGATGAATCACGACACTTTTTGGTTTCACTGCATTTTGCAGTGAAAATTGAGATTTTCTATTGGAGATTTCCTAATATGAGTATTCAATCTTTATGAATCCACAGACGAATCTTGTGGTTTTGGTTGACATTGGCGTGCTACCTATCTCAAAATGGAGATTTTCTTATGGTTATGATAATTGTTGGTGCCCTGCATGGTTCTTTGGTGGCAAAAAAGTCCTTACATTGTTGTACAAGATATTTATAGAGACTCTCAGGGGCTATTTGGTAGCATCCAGGATTTGATTTAAGTAGGATTTCGCAAATGCTCTAAATCTGGATTTTGAAAATCCTAAGGGGCCTAAATCCTGAAAACTGTTTGGCAACATTCATGATAGATCCTATTAAATTCCGTATGACTGTTTGACTTTAGTGCCGATTTAATGAGCGGACTCTTCTTCTCGAGCCAATGGATTTCGTAAATCCGGCAAAAAACAGGATTTCGAAAATTCGGGATTTAGCACGAAAAGGCGGAATTTTCCGTCTACAGCAGCTTTCATTTGCCGTGAGATTTGGTTTTGCATTTTAGATCGTTTGGCTGAATTTCACTCAAATTAGCCTCAAATCCGGCCTAAATCCTGCTAACAATAGACCCCAAGGGATGCAATACTGGCTACTAAGTTCTTAGGGCCTTGACCTTTGCTCCCCATGAAAACTTCGTCTACTTCACCTTCCTGTTGGCATGAGATTGGTAGAGAGATCTGAGGTGTACTTGCTCACTTGACACAGCCAAGGCGCTATGCAAAGGTGCCTTATATTGTCATTTGATTGTTGGGTAGTGCAGTGTGGATGTTAATAAGGCTGTAAATGAGTTGAACATAAGCAAACAACCTGCTGTTTGGGTTCAGATCATTATTTTCAATCATTGTTTGCTTTCATTTCATGTTCGTTAATGTTTTTTAGTTCACTGTTAAAGCTTCTTGATATTGTTTGAAATATTTCTTTGACTCGCTAATAACTCATCAAGGTTAGTGGGTTGTTTTCAAGCTGAACTCAAATGAACAAATCAGACAAAGTGATTTACATGGTTAATGATTGTTTTGTATACTCACTAACAAGTAAAATTTATAAATTTTAACTAACAGAAAAATCAATATAACCAACAATTAGCTTTTCATTTGTGAATGAAATGTTTGCCATAAAGTAATACAATTTTCCTAACTCTTCGCACATAACTTGTAATAAATTGCAATTTACAAATTGTACTCAAATAGGTCTTTCAAAGCTTTCAAACCATATTGATTTTAATTTACTTGTTCTTTGGACACCGTTAAAGTGCTATGCTTGTAATCATCTAAGGTGGAGGTGTCTGGAGTGGTTCACCATTGAAGACTTGAAGTGTAGCTATCGATGATGGATAAACCTTTCCAAAGGAGTTTTACAACAAGCACTCAAATAACTACATAAGGTTCTCTTTCAATAAATCTCTCCAGTCATTAGTCAGCTTGAAATAAATTCAAAAAGTAGAGAACATGTTGATTGCACTTTCTTTCTCAGAGATATAAAAATCCAGATTCCTTGGAATCAGTTAAAAGTGAAGAACATCATGACATTAGAACAAACTTAATTGAGGGAGGATGTTCGGTTTGCTATTGATTTGCCAAGTGTAGCTTTCCCCTTGACTCAAAATCAGCTCTTAAAGTTGCAGCATCCCTATTATTACTACTAGCATTATCTAGAGTGGTCGAAGACATTTTATCTTGAAGCACAAAATTTGGCCATGAAAAAAAAAAAATTTTCTTTCAGTTTTTTTATTTGATGTATATATTTGTAGACGTTGATGGTGCTGGGCTTGCTGGCTAAGTCTGAGGTTTAGGCTTCTCCTCTTGTTGAACATAACCGGAGGACATGTGCTTCTCCTCTTCTGACATGATAAACAAGTCAAATTAAAGATGCAAAAAAAAGTATGATATAACTACAAAATTCTAACATTTAAATTTTTAGTATCTAGTATAATACCATAGTTAGAGCTAAAATAGATTAGATCAGAAGATGATATGCTAAATTCAAAATGATAAGCAACACAATATTAAAAACTGCAAAACATTTTGTAGAAGAGAGTTCGCAGAAAGAATTTTAAAGCTTCTTATACACATGAGTGCTTATTTTAGAACTCCACACTGAAGCAAAATGAAATTGAATAGCGCAAAAAAGTAAATACTATGATCTATCCTTCAGAAATATATCACTACAGGAAATTCAGACATTACCGATGGTCCTATAGCCACCGGTATTACCGTCGGTTAAACCGGTGGTTAGAACGTTGGTATTAACCGGCGGTGTAAGCGGCAGTTTTTAATAACACACCGCCGGAATTAGCGGCGGTATAATAACCCCCTGCAAGGGCTCCGATTTTATGTTTTACCGGCGCCATTACCGGCGGCCTTGGCCGCCAGTTTTTAGTGATTTTTTCCTGCTGTCCAAACCCACAGAAAACCGCCAGAAATGGCCCTAATTTTGGCCGACCCGAGCCTTCCTCTTCATTTCTTCGCATTTCTCTTTCGCTGCAAACTCTCCCTCGCCCCTACTCTCCGATCGCTCGCGATTGCGCCTTCGAGGGTGTCTTTCTATGTAGTTTTATTAAATGTTTCCGAAGGAAAATTGGATTTTCTATGAGAAGTTTACGTAATGAGGATGGGCGAGATTTTTTGCTTATTTTGGCTGATTCTTTGCTTTCTTTTAAGTGCTTAAATATTTTTCTTAATCTATTTTGTATTATTTTTCACCTGATGGTAGAACTATCTAACACAATCATCCTTATATACTGATTGTTTTGTGTTTTTTTTTTAAATTTATTAAGTTAGAAATTTTGATATGCTTTACTTCCACAGATGTCAACGCGGAGAGGAAGTACTGATGTGCATGAGTTTGACGGAATGTTTCAGGGATTTCATGCTCATTTTAAAGTTACTTCTGTTACTGGACATGTTTTTAGGTTGTCAATTGTCTTTTTTTAACATCTTTGAACATATCCTCTTTTTTTTTAACTATATGAACTATTTATATGTGGTTCAAAACTTCAAATCGGATAGTATAGTATGCTGTGGATTGTTTTGCCTAATCATGTTTATTTCATTTTCAACCATTGCAGTTTAGACTTTCCTTCTACATACCAAAATTGGGAAGCAACTGATAATTTGGATCTTTTCCAAGCTCCTGTTGTAAAGTTAGAATCAAACCCAAAGGTAATCTTTTCTTATTGTGGATTATCCTGTAATTTGTTAGATAATGCACAGGATTTTTGTGTATTTTTGTTTTTGGCGATTTTTTTTTGTTAATTGCTAGGACCCTCAGCTCTGTAGGTGTTCAACGAATTTCCATTAATCTAGCATCCTGAAGAAAATCCTTCTATTGTTAATAGTTACCCCTATTAAATTATTTTTAAACATAAAAAAGAATGTTTGATAGCTGAGAGACCTGCCTTGCCAAACCCATTTGCAACCTCTATGCTATAATAGATTACATTGGGTGGGGTACACATATGAGGTAAACTGTTATACAATCATCAATATAAAACACGTTTGTGTTGCTCATAACATAGTTCCATGATGCACAGGGATCTATTAGAGTTGATCACTTATTTCCACATGAGCTGTTACATCCATTACATAATAATAAATAACAAATTATGAGTATAAACTTTTCATTTACATTGATTGCACTACATACAATCCAAAATAATAGATATGCAATACTCATGATTATCTCTTGTGCAAAGGCACCAAAACATCATCAATGTATTGAACCATGATTACAAAAGTATACATGAACATCCAAAACATCATCTATGTATCATCTTTAAGTCTTGTTTTCCAAGCATCTTACCCTTCGTTGAAACTAATATAACACATGCAGGTGTAATATGATGACCATAAAACCCAATAGCTCACATCAAATCTCTACCAAATTCAATGCATAGAAAGGAACAATATGTATACTTTTAGGTCATATCAGTGAAACATGCCACATTCTTGTTCATGCATGATATGCTTTTCATATCCATGTTATGTTCATGATCATACTATTGTAGTGATGCATGTAAATAAATCTAAACACGCAAACATGCTATATTGATTGAAGCATGAAAGGGTAGGAATGTAATCTATACATAAACATTTCATAACTCATCCTTTGCATATTCATATTCCACGTACATCAAGCATTAACAAGATCATTTATATCTTTGAATTAGATGAATCATCATGCATCATCTTTATCCTTTTATATTATAATCACTACAATAGGATTTCTCAATTCATGCTTAGCTTGCTGGCTGCACTTAAGCCCATACTCTTGTTTGCGTAGTATTGAATCTTCCCTTGTGTACCTTTACAGCATCTCCCACTCTATGATATTATTCTCTTTCATATTATAGACAATCATAAACTTGTCCTCCTATGAGAATAACTTCTGTCGGCAAAACTAAAGGGCTCATAGCCAATTTTTCCTTTAAATGACATACATTCAATTGCATTCATATAGCCATCATTCTCTTGTCTCATACACATCATATATGTCACATAACTATCTCTTGTAGTATGAAGCATGGCATGAACACAGTTGGAATGGAATGATGTATGCATCGTTGTAGCCATGCCAATCACAAAGTATCTTGTATGCCATATATATGAAGCATATAGGATTTCATTCATAGCTATATAAAGCATGTAGGATCATCACATGTAGGACATTATAGAGTATGTAGGAACACATCTAGGTCATTAGCCCCTTGAAATCATCATGATGCTTGTCATGCATGTTAGGTCACAAGTTAATCATCTTAAACTATGGTAAATTCACATTAATGCAGGACAAATGATAAAGGGATGAATACATAGAGAATATCTCACAGGCTCATTCAAATCTCATAAATTGCTTTCCAACAAATAGTAGACATTTCTAGGAATCCACAATAAGCAACATATTGAAATTTCTTCCATGAAATCCAGCTAGCTCATAAAAATGCATTTTATAGATTGATTCATGAATGAAACAAGAAATCAAGTGCAGGGAATGAAATTCATTGATTTCTATAGTATGGAATCAATAACACTCCTTGCTAGGAGCGAAATCACTATGAGATGCTCCAAATCAGCCACCCAAACTAGGGGTGTAAATGGGTCAGGTCGAGTTGAGTTGAGTATTTACCTGATTGAGCTAAGCTTATTTAGTTTTTATTGAGTTCGAGCTCAAGCTCGACTTGAGCTCATTTACTAAGCTTGAGCTTGACTTGTTAAAAAAAAATTTATAGACTTGAGCTTGCTTAGAAAGCTTGAGCTTGTTTAGAAAGCTTGAGCTTGATTAGATTGTTGAGCTCCATTTCTTAATTTATAATTTAAAATTTCTATTTTCTTAGAATTTTTTTTAATATAAAATTAATTTAAAAATATTAAAATATATTATATAAAGTTAATTTAAATTAATAGTTAGTCAAGTGGCTCAATGAGCTTTCGAGCCGAGCCAAGCTGAGCTCAAGCTGGAGCTCGTTTAATATACGGCTCGAGTATAGGATTGAGCTTGAACTCGTGGCTCGATAAGATCGACTTGTGAGCTCGTTACCGAGTTGAGGTAGAACTGGCTCGTGAGATTGCTTGACTCACTTACACCCTTAACCCAAGCTTACTAGAACTCTATCTCATAGGTTCTCTCCCTCTCCCTCACTACCAAAATGTCCATGGAGAAGAAACGAAACCAACCAACCTTATCTTATAAGAGATAAGGCTTCTAGAAAGCCAAAAAGAGGGAAAAATGTGGAAGAGTGAAAGTCTGATGAGTAACTCATCTTTGATTAAATGCTTATAAAATTATTGGAATATAATTAATTGATTGTACTACAATATGATGAAAATAACTTTAAGAAAGGACATCAAATAATTCTAGAAGCCAATCGTACGGACATATGCCCAACATGTCATACCAAGATTCATTAGATCATACATGTATCTCTATAGATAGATACCATACATGTGAGTGTCGACTGAGCAGCTTTCTTGGGAAAATCATTTAGCGTGCACATAGGATTGTCACAGCAAGAAATACATTAACACACATGCAATCATCAATATAACATGATCATAATATGCATATTATAAACATCATTTACCTTTAGTATTGGGTCACTAGTTGGTATTACACTTGCTTGTCTATTAGACTATAAGCACTTGTAACTTGTGATCCCCAATTCTTCCATCACTGTGATCAAGATAACTACCAACATGTCGAGGATTGCCTTCTACAGCCATGACAGGGTCACTAAATAGCTTGGGTTATTACATTTCCCATGTGGATTGCTTTGCCCAAAAATATTAGTTGAGTGGCTGATTTATAGGAAGAGGGGGAAGTGATGCATATGTATAAAAAAAATATGGAAAGCTCTAGGTGGGAGTTGTTAGCCTAAAAAATTAATGTATGTTTGGTTGGTCAAAATGTTCTGGAAGGGCCATTTTAGTTTTAGACTATTTAAAATATCCAATTTAGTCTTTTAACTCATCAAACATGATAAAAAATAGTCTCATAGTTATAATCATTGTTTAATTTGATGGACATTTCTTGCAAAGTTCAAGAATGAGGTGAGGAATGAGAGCATTTTTAGGAAATGAAGTTTTTACCTGTCTTGATTTGTGTGAAATACCCTTATTCCCTACTTCATTCCCCATCTCATTTGTGAATTTTCTGTGAATATTTTGTTAAGTTAAATAATGATTATAATTTGTAGACTATTTTGGATCATAATTCAAAAGTCAAAAAACTAAATTGGACGTTTTAATAGTCTGGGACTAAAATGACACCCAACAAATAGCCCGAGGGTGTGTGTGTATTTAGAAATAGGTAGGAACAGAGGGTGGGAGTGAGTGAGCATTTTAAGCAAGGCTATGTTTTAGCAACCTTCATAAAGACTTTCTATATGTTGGTGGGGGCCTGGGGGACTCTTGTGAAGCTATTTCTAAGCTTTGAACTACTTGTAGTGCCTCCTATGCACCAGTGGCCTAGATGTGAAGCATGCAATATTATTTTAGAGGTCTACTTCTTTGTCCATGCATTAACTTTCCTTCATTTTCTTTATAGCTTTAATGCATGTTTTTCCATTGTCTTACAAATTCCCCTTTAGGGTCATATTTGCAGGCATCTATCCCAAGAAGCCCGTGGTTGTAGCTATTTGGTACTGTGGTTGGATTGTGACCGTGAGGGTGAAAATATATGCTATGAAGGTTGTTTCTTCCCTGGCTTTTATATGTTTTCTTCTTAATTCTTGGTTTGATGTCAAGTAAAGTCACATATTCCACTTTTTCATATTTTTAGCAAATTTTATTTAAGTTAAGTCTCTTTTTGTTTTTTGTTTACTGAACTTTTCTTTTGGCTGATTATAATTGTCTTTCCTGTCTTATATTTCTTGGTTAAGGGTTACATACTAAGCATCTTGAAATGATGGAAAAAATTGACAAGCAAGTGAACAGACCACCCGAACTTGAAACCACTTTTTAACAAGTTTATTTAGTATCTACATGGGAAACATCTATACTTGGCATATCACTCATATCATCTAGAACTATTGTAGGTCCTTATTGAGCATTTCAGCACTCTGCAGATCCTTATCCTTATCGAGCATTTCCTTCGATATGCCAATCTTTTCCCTCGCTTACACTTCTAATGAAATATTATAGGACTCCCTCCTTTGTTAGTGTTCAATCCCATGTCACATCGCCGGACTCCGCCACTGCTCCTAACCCAACCCCATTGCAAGTACACCCCTATTTACAACAACATTAGATTTCTCATATTGTACTTTGACAATCTTGACCAACTTCTATGTTACATTTCATGGGATCTCGCTTCCATGTTGGTCATGAACCACTTGACTACATTTGCTCTACATTATGGCCTTCTGTTTGATGCCCACTAGTCCCTTGCTCATCCATTCCCACATGCTCATTTCAACTTCTCTTTGAAAGGAAACTATTAGGAAGTGGCAGTAAAAATACAATTTCCTTGGATTGAAATCAAATAACAGCGCACCCATGTACACTCTCTAAGAGGAAACAAGAGAAACATTGGAGAGAAATCTTTTTTTGATTACAATGGAGAGAAATCTTTTTTTGATTGATGAAATAATAAGAAAGTAAACAAGATACAATAGATCTTCTATTTTAGAGGAAGATATGTCTCTCCCAAATCCCTAGTCGTCGGCTAGATCCCAAAATTCCTAAGACCAATCAAAATTCAGCAAAATCGCCACATACCCTACCCCTTGAGCAATATAACACTCTAGATGAGAGTTCTTAATACTCTAGGGGAGTTGATGATGGTCGTCCAATCCAAACTTATGCTTGACATCAACGACATGATTGATTAAATATTTTCCTGCTTAATTTATAGATTTATATTTAGAAAATATTTAGATTTGTTTCATTTGGAGTTTATTTTAAATCTTATCAAATTTATTTCATTAGGATTTATTTTCTTATTTTTCTTTTTTTGCTTGGAACTTCAGGGTTCCTTTCATCATAAATGAGACTCTTAAGGCTAGGTTGAGATTATTATTGAGTGAATGAAATGCGAGCTATTCAAGGTCCCCTCACCCATTATATATTTCTTTTTCCTGTGCGACATAACAAAGCTTACGAAGTAAAGGTTGTTAAAAAGTTTTAGCTAGGCCATGATTTGAATCAATTTCAACTCTAAGTAGAAATTGGTAAAAAGAATTTTAGAAAAAAAGGAGATGCAGTGCATTCTAGAGTTGGATGCATTGTCAAAGGCTTTATACTAATGTGAATCTTGGAAGGGTTTGACGGATGTATTGTAGAGATACTGCTTTTGAACCTGTAATCTCCTCATCAAAATGGATCAACCTAATGATTCCGCCACACCCTCTTAAAGAAGAATTTCAAATAGTTGGATGATGGATGATGATGATAATTGATATCACTCTTATTGAGAAAAGTGGCAAGCTACCATTTCTCTTGCTATATATGTTTTTGATAACTTCCATCTACTAACATTCTAAAATAGATGACTAAATGAATGCAACATTTTTTTCTAGTTATTGAATGCACGGGATTCAATGAGAATGAGGTTGGTCGAAAGATACTGCGTGCTCGATTTTCTTCTGTTACAGAGAAGGACATATTGGAGGCATTGGAAAACCTTGTCAAACCAAACAAAGCTGAGGCCTTAGCTGTAGATGCACGCCAAGAGATTGATTTGAAGGTTGGAGTTGCCTTCACTCGATTCCAGACTCGCTATTTTCAAGGAAAATATGGGAATCTTGACTCCAGGATCATCTCGTAAATTCTTAATATCTTTTCCCTTATGTTATCTTTTCTTTGCTATGCGTTGTCAATGTAAGCTACTATTCTGATTGATTTGGCCTTTTTTTACTTTGCATGCTTATATATATATATATATATCAATTCTTTTGCTTTCTTTTAGTGTAATTAGTTTGTGGAGCCATTTTTCTCTTTTAGGACTTCTTGCATATAGGTATTCACTCTTTGAATGTTTATTGTCCTACAGTTGTTCATGTTTGACAATATTGAAGGCCTTCTAAAATATGTTAAATTCATGTTTTTATTTATTTAGCTATGTTTGGCCATCCATTGACGTATGTGTTCTTTGGAGTTAACGAGTTGTATTTATCGAAAACTTTTTGATTTATTATCCTTTTATCATTCTTGATTGTACAAATTGTTTTAACCCTATGAAGCATTTGGAGTACCAATAAAGTTGATTATTTCCATGTTAGTGACGAAAACAATGTTGTTTCATGAAGAAAGGGGTGTGTATTAGTTGTTTGAAACTGAAAAATCAAATGAACTAAGTATATTCAGTTGGTTTGGTTCGGTTTAATTAAGGGCAGTTCGGTTTTTGGTTTTGAAATAAGGGTTATTTAAATTGCGGTTTCTGGTTTGGTTTTAGAAAAAAATAATAATTGAACCAAAAATCGAAATACCAATAAATACGTTATTCCAAATAATTGCAATGTCATTTTCCAAATTCTTTTTAGAACTATTATTAGAGTTTTGGTTGTTTACAGAAAGTAGAAATGTTTTCATAGTTAAACCAAAATTAGGCCTCATAAACTGAACTAAATTGCGGTGTGATTTGATTCTTCCTATAATTTGGGCTGATATAATTGATTTTACAAATTTGTCAATCAATCCATTTGAATTGATCGAATGCACCTTCCTATATGAAGGCCATAGGACTCTTTTATAGCCCCTACATATTATATATTTATTGCTTTCTATGCTTTCTTACCTCTTTCAGCTTTCTCTAATCTCAAAATGTTATTAGGTTTCTGATAGAAAATAGCCAACAAAATAAGGAAATCTTGCAAAAATTCAGAGAAAAACAGCAGGATGAGCAGATTTTGTTGAAAAGATACAGGGAAATCCCACAAACAACACTTGAAATTCACTAATAGTTAAAAAGAAACACTCTAATACAATGAATCTTCAATTCAAGAGGAAGATTCCACTCGTCAAACTCTAGCCCAAACTTAGAGACCCAAAAGCCAACACAAGAGATCTCAAATTTCAGCTCCAATTCAAGATAATCCTAACCATAGTCAAAAAGAGAATACTTAAAGCACCATACAATTATCTAATGCATAATACCTAAACAGCCCTCAACATTTGAATTTTCCCCCCAAACCCAAGCTCCCATCAATGCTTGGGCCCCCACCATCTGCTCCCTTTAGGGCCCGCCTCCTGTAGCAAACAGGTTCAGGTTGGGCCCTAACAATTTCATGGTATCAAAATCGTGATAGCCTCACAACACTACCTACCTCTACCTAACTGCAGTTATTAATACTTAGGTTATTAGTGGATCAGGAAAAAAACATCAGTCACAAATGTATCTGGCATAGAGCGATCCTTATCGATCTTCAAAATTGGTGACTTCCCTATCTTACTCAAGTTTCTCATGACCAACATCAAGAACACCCTCACCATTCAACTAACACTAAAAACCACCCCACCTAGAGATCATAAGTGTTATGGCTCTTTTGAGCAAACATATTCAAGGTATCTATTGATGGAACTACATCTGGATTGCCCGAACACCTTCTCATCGGCAATGGCATTATCAATGTCAATGTCCCAACATGTTCACTTTGGAATCCGATTGACCAAAATCTCGTTGCCATCTAAGTAGTGATTTCATCATCTTATCTTTCATATGTTCTCTCCCTCAACACTCGTGCGGACATTTTGTTCGCTATCGATCACCAACTCTTGTCTACAAATCAGTTTAGACTAATCCTACTGAAAAATGAGCTTCATAATATTACCATGGCCCATAATACAATGACTAAATACCTATTTGACATTAAAGTTAAGACTGATGCCATAGGATTCACCGAAACTCCTCTAACACTAGAGGATATCTTCCTCTATACTCTCGTGACTTGCATACCACCTATCAGGCATTCAAGAATATCATTCGAATCAATATTCAACCCATTTGTATCGATGAATTTCACACCTATGCAATAAAGAGATCAATCTAGGAGTAGAAATAGCCCATGATTTTCATCAAATACAAGATTCATCTACACCCACAACGCAATTATCAACTAGAGGACATAGTTGATCATGCCCCTGCTCAACCAATTGAGGTTGCTCAAACTATGGTCGTGTTTCTAAACAATCAACTTGTGGAGTTCAAACCTCAAGCATCGCACTAACTTTTTAAATCGGTTGCAAAAGCGGCCATTTCTCATCTAATTGCAGATTGCGAAGAGCTAAGCTAAAATGGCTAATCCTCAAACCCTCATGCATTACTTGCGGACTCTACCTCCTCCACCACCTGTTGGTTTCTAGACTTTGGTGTGACCACACACCTCACCTCTGACCTCAATCAACTTTATAAACCCAATGCCTACAATGGAAACCAACAAGTATCTCTCTACAACTGGCAAACATCACCAATCTTACATGATCAAGGCTTCTACTAACCCCAAGCAATTCACTCAACTGCTCCATATTCCCAATCATTATTGTAATCTCATCTTTATTAACCGCCTCTTCAATAACAATTCCTGCATAATTATTTTTTATGTTGCTAGATTCAAGATTATGGGCATGAAGTTAGGTCATTCCCTCCTAACAGGACCTCGCCTTGAGGTCTTTATCCACTTCACTCCATTGTTATCCACCCCCCACCCCCCCATATATATGAAAAGTTTCTTTATGCATTCTTTGAACGATTGTATAGATACCTTGATAAATTTTTTTAATGTTTTTTTTTTCTAATCTACTTTGTTAGTTATATATGAATTAAAACAATGACATCATAACATAATTGTATTAAACTCATATTAACATTTATTTCAGGCATTTAATCAATTAATATCTACCCAAGTTGCATTTTAGACAACAATTTAAACATGTTCTTATCAAGCAATCATCTGCTATACTCGGTAGTGTAACACAACACAAGATAGCAATGTTAACCTTAGTCTGATGGCTTAGCCCATGTTGAATATTTGTATTATATTCATGGAAAATTTTATGCAACTTTTTGTAGAAATTTCTTCATGCATTCATCTTGATTATTCTTCTACCATTGGTTTCAGTTATGGACCTTGTCAGACCCCTACACTGGGATTTTGTGTGCAACGTTGCATGCAAATCATGACATTTAAACCGGAAAAATTTTGGTATTTTAGTCCTTATATAATAAAAGATGGTTATGAGCTACAGTTGGAATGGGATCGAAACAGAGTATTTGACTTTGATGTAAGGTTTTTCTTAGTGCTTCTTCTATCACATCCTTGTTTTTCATTTTCCCTTCATTTGAAAAGGATTCATAAATCCAATCCCAAATAATTGGGATAGCGCTAATGATGATTATGTGCTTGTTTAATTATCCTGATTTCCTAAAACAAACTGTAGGTTGCTGCAATGTTTCAAAAACTGGTACTTGATCAGAATATTCTTGAGGTAACTGGTGTGTCCAAAAATGAAGAAAACAAGAGTCGTCCTTGTGGCCTTAACACCGTAAACTTATTAAAGGTAAGCATTAGCAACCGTATCTCTTGTCATTTCTAAGACAGATTATTTTAAAATCTCCTAAATTTTTTTGGTGGAATAACTTTATAATCTAATGTTAATTACAGTTTTGATTTTTTCAATATCCTTTCTCTGTGAATCATTCTCTGATAGTTTTTGTGCTCATGGAAAGTTAATTTGGTCTGATGTACATTTTAAGTAACAAAACGGGATGTCTTATATCTATAATTTAAACAAATTTACATTTTTGTTGTTTAACATCCACAGCATAACGTAAGTACCAATTGTTGTTGTGGATATATTTCCTGCCTTCGCACAATTAGAGCTGGTAGAGGCTGATTTTCTGCTAGAAACAAAACTCTAATAATTAACTTGAATTCGGCAAACTCCCTATAAACTTGAAGTTTATTGGAATAGTCATGGACTCCAGCTTTTCAAGCTAACTAACATATCATTTCAGAGAGTTATGTCGCCAGCTACTTCTAAATTTTGTCGGCAATAGATTATAATTTTGTTTCATATACTGCTTTCCGTGATGCTATTGTATCCACTCATGCCGAATGAGTTGAATTTGGTTTTTTCCTTTACTGATTTGCCTTTTAAGCTCTTTTATGGTACATATTAGTTCATGCTCTGTTGCAATTTTGAAAATTATTGGCATTATTAGTATCACCGCACTTTTTTTGGTTGCCATTTCTGGACTTTAATATCATTTGGTACTTTTTCTTTCTTAGGTTGCTTCAAGTGCGCTGGCATTAGGGCCACATGTTGCCATGCAATTAGCTGAGCGACTTTACACTCAAGGATTTATCAGGTTATTTCTACACTGATTTCAAGCATTGGATTCCCCACACTGTTCAGCATATTGATGTACGGTAGTATGACGTCAGAGCTGAGCTGCTTAAAACATGTTAACTTCAGGCTAGATTAATTACATTTTGTAGTTTGTATGATTGTATAGGAATTGAGCTTTCTTCTTCTTAGTGTAGCCTATTATGTTGCTATATTTGTCTATAAATACTTAGTCAATACTTATAATAGGGCAGATTTTGAGATAAATAATATTTAAGTTGAGTTTTGTGTCTTTTCTGTATCCTGAAGTATATTCAAGTCGTGGTTTCTTTCCAAGGAGTTCTTGGAGTTGCGTCCGGCGACAGTCACCGGATTGTCGACAAGGAGTCGTCAAGCTCCCTCCGGTCCGGTGTCACGTTTTCTTTTTGTTATTTGTTAGGCTAATGGACAATGCATCTTATTATATTGCTCCATCAACTTTGCTCTTATGTTCTTGTGAATGAAGAGCTTGAAATTTTATTACTTGTTATGATTGCCATTGATTTCATCTTCATAATTGTTTGACATAGTAAGCTAAACAAAGTTGTTTTAGCTGTTTGCATATTGTTTGTCATCTATTTTTGAATGGTAACTTTCTTATTAGTATACAGACTATGTTCCTCTGATTATATTGAGGTAAATAAAAAAAAGCAATGTTAATAGATAGTGGAGAATTAGTATTTGGAACTCACTTTACTATTAAATAGGTTTCCTGAGATTAGTTTAAATACTTCCACGTTGACATTCATTGTGTTAGTCAAAAGGAAATTTTGCTTGCTATACTATTTGTACAACTTCTCAGTTTGTTATAGCATTTGCCTCCTTTGCATCAATTGTTTCATTCTGATAACAGGTTAAGATTGTGTATGCAAAATTTACTTGGTTCCCATATTATAAAAAAAAATAAATAACCAGGTTGCAGTCATGCACGCAAGTCTTCAGGATTTGTTTCACAAGAATTCATTTTGCTGTTTTTATCATTATTTGTTATGATGTCCAGTGCCATGGAAAGAACATGCGTTCTGTCTCCTCTATATTTATCCTCTTTAAAACAAATCATATTCTTAGGTCCATGTTGCTTTTGAGTTTTACCTCCATTTTCAGAATATGCAGTTCATTAGGGGTATCAATATTTAATCCAACCCGAAAATCCGATCCAAAAATTTCGGGTTCAGGTCAACCCAAACCCGAACCGAGTCGGGTTTGGGTTAGAGATTTCGACCCATTTATAAAACCGGGTCGAGTTCGGGTTGACCTGGAAACCCGAAATCAACCCGGTTTGACCCGTTTTTAAAAAATTTAGGAGGATTTTATAAGATTGTTATGAAATAAGTAAATTATATTTATAAAAAATAATAAATATTGTTGCCTAAATTAAATTAAGCTTGACTTATTTCAATTTGATTGAAGTAAATCTTACCTTAATTTGATGTAGATTTAAATAAATCGAATTAAATAAAAAAAATTTAGTAAAACATACCCGAAGCGGATATGGTTCGGGTTTGGAAAACCGACCGTTTTGCAAAAACGGGTCGGGTTTGGGTCGGGTCGAATAATGTCGGGTCAATTTCGGGTTGGACCCGAACCCGACCCATGATCCGATTTTGACAACTCTACAGTTCATTAATATGTTGTAATTGGCTTGTTTCTCAACGTTCTGACTTCCATTTTCGGAATATGCATTTTATTACTATTCTGTAATTTGCTTGTTCTTCGAAGTATATTTTGAATATTTTTGGATGATATTTTCCAGCTATCCACGTACAGAGAGCACAGCCTACCCCGCATCATTTGACTTCAGAAATGTGCTTGGAGCACAACAAAACAATCCTATATGGGGAAATCATATCCGTTCATTACTGACTGATGGTTTTCATAAGCCGCGTATGGGATCAGATGCAGGTGACCATCCTCCCATTACTCCAATGAGGGCAGCAACAGAAGAGATGTTAGGAAATGATGCTTGGAGACTCTACCAATATATTTGCCAACATTTCATTGGTACTGTTAGCCCTGATTGCAAGTACACACGGTTAGTTTCATTCTAAAACTTTTAAGCTGTATTGGTTCTTTTCTTCTATTGATGCTTGGTCATAGCTAAATAAATAAGGAAAGCATCAGCCTTCAATTTGCAGCTTGCCTATTCCGAGTGAACATGATAAAATCAATAAGTAGTGATGTTTGTTGGTCTTAAAAATGGTATATTAAATTGCAGAAAATAATTTCTGTGGTGAAAGAATTATAGTTTTTTATTTAGATTTTTGAGCTATATAGGATATGTGGCAATTGAAAAGTGAAACCTCCTCTACAACTATTTTTTATTATTTTTTCAATTTTTTGTAATAAATAATTTTGTTTCACTTTGTTCTTATTGAAAAAAAAAAAAAATCTGCAAAAAAGAAGTGGCTAAAAGGCTTACATTGTTTTCATCCCTTAAGTATGTATACACAAATGATGCCTATAGTATTTAGGAAAATATGAATTTCTGAATTGATAAATAATTACATTGAATGGCTGCCAGCTCCACATGATAAAAACATATGCATACATTCCATTCTAGCTAGTCTTGCTGGCTTGAATGCACTAAATACCCCTCCCAAATCACCAATCCATAGGAGCAGGCCCTGCTTTCAGGTTTACACCATATGAAGAAATGCAATAATGGAATGAATGGACTGTCAATTACTTCATTATGTGTGTGCTAAGTGTGCTGGATAGCAAAGAAGAACAACTGTGGGGTTTAAGTGTTGCAATCGAACCTGATAAGACTCACAAAAGGAACAGGTCCTATCATGTTGGCTTGCAACGGGCCAAATTCAAGATCAAAGATTTGGAAACTATTCACATTTTTTGTACATTTTGATTTTAAAACAAACAACAAACCACAGAGCTGCAAATAACTTCTAGTATACATAAAATAAACTCATTCTCAAAATTTATCTCATGTATCATCAAAATGTATATACAATAATTACATTACAGTGCATGATTACAGACTGGAGTATAGAACAGTGCGGATTAAATAATTAGCCATGACTAAACAAAACTTCAGAAAAGAAGTATTTACATAGACTCGTATCAGATCCTGAAATTTCTACTCAATAGATTCATTTCCTTAACCAGACCTTGAAAAGAGAAGATAAAATAATTGTGAATAAAATCAAAATAACAAACTAAATTTAAATATTCTAAAACAAAAATAAACTCAATATATTTCGTTATAATAGAATTAAGATTAAAAAAATATCAATTGAAATCATTTGTTTAAAAAAATTCTCTCACCACAAGATGCAATATCTTAATTCGCTCTTATCGTAGGTGAAGTCAAATGTTGTACAAAAGAAAACATAATAAGTTAGAAATTAGATTTTATAAAAATTTCAAGAAATACATTCTTAAAATGCTCTGATTTTAAACCCATTCTTTAACTTTAACTTCAATCATTATTTTCTAGATTTATTTTGGTTCTATTTAACAAGTTTGTGGACATAATTAAACTTTTTATATGGTTCGAGACTAAAATATCACCCACTAAAAGTTGAGGAATCATTTAGTCTTTTTCTCATAAGATTATTGAACGTTTAAGAGTGCATAACTCTTCGTGTCTTTTTTCATGTGTAAATGTTTCGGTTTAAATAGTTGGTATATGACTTAGATTATCTCTAGGTATAGTTAAAAATGATTCTTCATAATACACTACGAAGTGGGCCTGTCTTAGTCAATTGTTTTTTACTAAAATACTGTCGTTGTCAAGTCTTAAGTTTTATATGAGAAAAGTTAAGGGTTGCATCAGGTAGTCAACAACGAGCATAAAATTTGTTGAGCAATCATGACACGAAAGCCTATATTATGATGCTTGATTTTGTTGTTGTTGTTACAATTTAAAAATCAAAAGCATTTATTTTTATTATTCTGCATGACATACTCTATAGTAACTGATTTGTTGATATGCGCATCAAACTCTACAAGTTTCTTCTGAATTTCTTTTCCTGAAAGTCGGCAAATCATAAAGCCCAAATTCTAGAACATTTTTAATCCGAGGATCTCTAGAGCATAAAGCCTAGATCTGCATTAACTGAAGCTGTGTGGAGTTATTAAATGTTGTATAACTTTTTGTCATTTCAGGACAAAAGTAGAATTTACCTCTGGAGGTGAGCGTTTCCACTGTGTAGGGCTGCATGTGAGCACTAAAGGATTTACATCAATCATGCCATGGTTGGCAGTTACGGAGAAGAACCTTCCTCAGTTCACGAAAGGAGAGAAAATCAATATTCTAAAAATGGACTTGCAAGAGGTAGGATTACTTGCATCTTATCTTTGTATTTACAACATTGGAATGAATTTTATTCCTTCTAGGTGAACTTGCTCGTCTACATGCATGCTATTTTTGATTATTTGCTCTTTATTCTTTCCTTTTTTAATCTATATGCGCTAGTAACTTGAAGGGAAGACCCCTTTAGATGTTCTTATGTAGATTATTTTGTTCTTGATCATATTTTTTACATGCAAAACTGCAGGGAAGCACCACACCTCCAGATTACCTTAGTGAGAGTGAACTCATCTCTCTTATGGAAAAGCATGGAATAGGGACAGATGCTTCCATTCCTGTTCACATAAACAACATTTGCGAACGCAACTATGTACAGGTTTATATTAACACCCTCTACCTTGATGTATTTCCTGTTTACTTGTGTATGGTTATGTAATTTTAACTATACCTATTGGAGACGTTAGCGACTAATAGGATCGGGATAGTGGAGCTGTCACCATAGCTCCTTTCCTATGTGGTCATCTTAAAAGCACAAGCTCCTCGGAGTGCCTTAGGTGCCTTTCCTCGAATTATTGGGCCCTTAGAAAGTCTCATTAATCTCAATACAACTAGCTAAAATAATTCTTTCTTCCGTTTTTTTTTCTTTTTTGTCATCTTATTTTGCATAATGTTTGTAATTTAAGTTAAATTGCACTAACCTTTATGGTTTAACTCCATCTTCTTCAATATGATTTTATTGCTTAATTTTTTCTTAAGTTTGTAGAGCTTCTTATTCATCTTAAAGGGCTGTTACTTATTCATCTTCCCCTTCATTTGTCTAACTTTAATATTTTCTTACATCTATGTTGCTCATTATTTGATTTATATGATTGTTTATCTAAATTATTATTTTTCTTTTAATGATATATTATTTTTATATTTTTGTCTTATATGTCTGACCTCTTTATATGTCAATCATCATCATTATTATTCTTCCAACTATTTTCAGTCTATTATGAATTCTTGTTTTTTTATTTTTCTTTTGAGTGCTATCTAAGGTGTTAAATTTATTCTTCACAAATCATTTTGAACAATCTCTGTTCATTTAATCTTATATAATCATTCATCGATCAGTTGATTTATCCTTTCTAGTTTTGTCACACACCATCTTAACATTCTTTTTTTGTCTCACTCAACTTTGATATATTGACTTATTTACAACCTAATATTTGAATCCATGCAAAATTGCCATCCTTATTATGGTTTTATAAAATTTACTTATAAGCTTTCATAGTATCGTTTTATCGCACAAAGCTCTCGAAGAACTTCTACATTTTAACCGTCTTGATTTAACTTTTATTCCCATCTTTATCTTTCTCTTCTTTTTTTTTTATTATTAAATGTCTAAGATACTTTTACTGGTTATGCTTAGCTGTCAACTCATCATCTTATATTCAATGATAATTATTAATATCAATGGCATTAAAATAATATATCATATAGTTAGTCATTGTTTCACTATTTCTAAAGCCTCTATCTTCCAAGCAAATTCTCACTATTCTAATTTTTCATTAATTTCGATGGATTTCATACAAATTAGAAGGCAACTAGTTTTGAATATCTTTTTAAGCATCTTCATAACTTATGAAAGAAAAAATATGGACTCAATATTGACTTTGATATAAACCTAAGATCACTAAAATTATTGGATTACTTCACAACTACTTCTAACTGACAATTCTCCATCATGTATATCTTTAATAATTTTAATCTATCTTTGCCACACTTTTCTGCCTTAAAGCACTCTAAATCAATTTTCAAGATATTTAATCTCACCTTTGTATGTCATGAATTATATATTTTTTGTCCTCTTTTATAAATAAGTATTATGAATTATTCATTGTTATTTGTTACTGTGCTTTGTAAATAATTATTTTTAAATGCTAGCTATTCTTTACATTATTTTTGAGGTTCATCATTATTTTTGTGCTATAGATGTTTTGTTTTATTTGAATTTATTATAAATATCTATATTTTATTTAAAAAAACAAGTGTGACAAGATTCTATTTGTAGTACTATTTTTTAAAAAATTTGCTCCTTACTTTCGAAAGGTATGCGCCACACATCTTTTGTTTCTCATAGGCGATTGAGGGCCTTTGTGCCTATTGCATCAATAAATAGGTTATTAACTAAAGTCTTAATGTTAACGTTTTGATTTTGAAGGTTAACTCTGGGAGAAGGTTGGTTCCAACAGCCCTAGGAACCACCTTGATAAGGGGATACCAAAGTATAGATGCAGATCTTTGTTTGCCAGATATCCGTAGCTTTATTGAGCATCAAATCACCATGGTTGCTAAAGGAAAAGCAGACCATTCTCATGTTGTTCAGCATGTTCTTCAACAATTTACGCAGAAGTTTTCTTATTTCGTCAAGAAGGTGATCTTCTCAATGAATTAATTGATTTATTCTTTGCTTGCAATTCTGCTTCTGGAATGCATTTGTTCGTAATATTATTTTTGTTATATGCTATAAGTCAACATCCATGACCTCATTTTGATATTTATGTGCTATAGCATTTGTGCTGAGTTTACACTTGTTGGCATAGTTTTCATGATGTTATACTGGCACTTACCTGTTTGAAAAAAAAAAACTAATCATTCATCAAATAATGATGACAAACTTCCAAGTAACATTTAAAGTAAATAAATAGACGTTTTAACAGTTTTACAAAATATTACAAATGGGAGCACTATTTTGCTGTATTGGCAAGCATGGTAGTGATCAGCATCCCAAATTTGTTGCCCCGCCACAAGAATCATTGTCATTCCTTTCTTTGTTGACAATCATTGACATCTATTTATGGGATAACAATCATTTTCATTGATGTGTGGTCTGGAGGGTCTTTATGGTGAAGATAATAATTTAATTGGTATGCCCTTATGGAGGTTGTCAAAGTTTATTTTTTTTTTATTTTTTTTTTATTTTTTTTTATAGCAAACATTAGGGTTATTTGAGTGGTGGTTAAAGAATATTTCAAATTTTGGATAAATTTAGTGCTGAAACTCTTAGGGTAACATAAGACGTTTTTTTTTTCTAGAAAAGCAGGGAGGAACTCCATATTAAAGTTTTGGGATGTTAAGAAACTAATGACGTTTTTATGAGTTCTGGATCAGTGGTTAAGGTATTTTGATTTTTTTTATCTGGTTGACCACAACAGGAAAGTGTATCTTTATATTGAGATGTTGGCTATAGTATCTTAGGATTATTAGGGTGTTGATGTCTTGTAATATTATGAGGAATGTAGGGGAGTATTTGAAAGAGTTTTGAAGAGGTCATATGGGTTTTGGGATTGAGGGAATTATGCTTAAGGCTATAAAGAGGAGATGAATATCGGGAAAGGGGAGAATAAGGCGAAGAAAAAATAATTAAGGACTTACCAAAGTCCTAGGGGATTAAAAACCAAACTTCATAAAAAATTAGAGCAATCATCAAGCGTTTTCATACAAAATTTGCACAAGCAAAAATAAGTTTTCTTTAATGAATTAAAAAGTACAAAATAATGTCCTATTTATAAGTCTTTTCCAAGCTTATGCAACTTTGAAAAGCCTTAGTAGTCAATTAAATATTAGCGCATAGGTTAGTGACTTGTCCTAATACAAAGGAAAGAAAGATGAAAAAAATAAATTAAAATTTGAAGCTTTCAAATATATGAAAATTCATATTGACCCAATAAGTCAAGTAGAGTGATCCTGAAATCAAGTCATTTATAAAGATTTTTTTTGCTTCCTCAATTGGTATGGCTCTACATTGTCATTGTCAGATCCTAACCCTGGATGAAAAAGTGAAGGGTTGTGTTAGGTAATCGAAAGCTAGGTAAAATTTGTCGAATAATCATGACTTGACTGGTATGGCCCACCTACCCATCAAGAGCCCTTAAATAAAGCTTCTTAATTATTCTTCCATAATTTTATGAGTATTATAGGTCATCCATGGGCTTGCATGGGTAGTTGTACATGATAAATGACCCAAATCTTGACACAGAGCCTTTATTTGTGACATTGTCCTTGACTTTTGTCTTGATTTTGCATCAGTCAAAAAGCATTGATTTTGCATCAGTCTACTCTTAAAAGAACACAAATTTAGATAGATTGCATGCCAACATGGGCTTGCATGCCTAATGGCTTTAAGCATACATGCTTGATGGCCTTATTGCATGCATACCTGATGGATTGCATGCTTAATAGCCATACAAGCCTATGCATGTAGGCTTTAATAAAAGGGATGGCATGGCTATGGAAGGGCTTGACAAAAATTCAAAAAAAAAAAACGATAAGTGCTTGAGAAAGATTATACAAGGGCTTGGTCAGTCTATCCCTTTGCTTTGGTATCTGACTCTAGCCCATGACTATAAGTTGCTCAAATTCTAGGCTAGCCAACTGAGAGCTTGACTAGATAACGGAGAGCTTGACAAGGCCACTCAAGGACTTGATACAAGTCAGACTCTTCTGTAATCTTGCTAAGAGCTAGACATCTCCAGCCCTCGAGTAGTTTAGCAATTGCAAAGGAATTAAAAAAAAAAAAAATGTCTTTCTTACGATGTAGTGATATGTAAATATACACAGCCCAATTTTTCTTAAGAATCAATACGATTCTAGAAGTTACTACTACCAATAATTACAACAACAACAATAACATCAAGTCTTTATCCTATTATGTGGGATATGCTACATGAATCATTTTTCTTCATTATGTCTTGTTAAGAGTCAAATAATATCATTAATTGCAACAAATAAAAAATCCTTCAATATAAAATTTTTGTCATTTTAGTTTATAGATTTTCTCCTACTATACAACAACAACATCAAACCTTTATCCCGCTACGTGGGGTCGGCTACATGAAAGTCAATAATTCGTACAATCTTGTGCGTCACCCGTATTCTTAAAAATAAGAATCAACAAATTCATTTTCCACTCATCTGACATCTTTTTAGCCTTCAAAATAATATTAAAAAGTTTAGTAAGCCAAGAAATTCCTTCATCTCCTAAGCATTTACACAGTTCTATTGGAATATCATCAGGTACAACAGCTTTTTCAGACTTCATTTTCTTTAAAGCCTCACTAACTTCGGTTTTACTAATACGCATAAAAATAAAAATCTTTATTTTCATTTAGAATTTTAAGATCACTAAAGTCAATCATATTCTCACAATCTTTATTGAAATGTTTAGCAAAATATCTCATCCACCTTTTTTTAATATCTTCTTCAAATAAAAGTACTTTTTTTATTTTCATACTTAATATGCTTCATTTGCACTAAATTTTTACTACTCATATCTCTTTGTTTGACTAACATATACATATATCTTTCGCCCTCCTTTGTATCTAATTTTTTATATAAATCATTAAAAGCTAAAATCTTTGCATCGCATATTGCTTTCTTAGACTCCTTACGGGCCTTTTTATATCTTACTTAGTTATCAGAGTTTTTACATTTAAATCAATTTTTATAACAAATCTTCTTATTTTTTATCTTATCTTACATATTTTTATTCCACCAACTATTTTTATTATTATGAATTTTTCTTTGATACTCCAAGAACATATTTTTCAACATTCTTAATATCACTAACTATTTTTTCTTATATAATATTTGATTCCTCATGCATAAACAAAATCTTAAGATCTATAATATTACTCTAAAAAATATTTTTACTAATATTCTTGAAAAGCCCCCATCTAATCTTAGAACAATGTTTTACTTTATTTTTTATATTCTACCTCTTCGTCTTAACGTCCATAACTATTAAGCAATGTTGGGTACATAAACTTTCACTCGGAATAATTTTACAATCTAAACAATCTTTTTTTCTTATAAGAAAGTAATCAATCTAAGTTTTTCTATATCCATTATTATAAGTGATTAGAGTTTATTCTCTTTTCTTAAATAAGGTATTAGCAATTGCAAAGTTATAAGCTATAGAAAAATCTAATTGGTCTTACCAATTGTTTGGATTGATTGTTGCTTTAAATTTTATATCAGTAGATTTCACTTGAACATTCTCATATTTTATATTTTGTATTTCCATATTTTCTTAGAAATTTGTGCTAATAATAATTTAATTTGAGATTTGGGATTACTTTAGAAATATAGTTCCCCCCATTTTATATTCACCACCACCATGACCAACATCAGGTATTTAATGATTTCTTTTTGTTGCTTTCAACTTTGTCAACTTAGCCAATTTGCTTGCAGAGGATCGAGTATGCGATTAACACTTAATATTGCATTTTTTAGATGTGGCATCTTGAATTTCATTTTTGACAATGGATTTATTTGTAACAGATTGAAAATATGGATGCACTCTTTGAAGCGCAATTCTCAACCTTGGCTGAATCTGGACGTTTGCTCAGCAAGTGTGGAAAATGCACCCGATACATGAAATTCATTTCAACTCAACCAGCACGGTTGTACTGTACCAGTTGTGAGGAGGTTTATAATCTCCCTCAAAATGGCTCCATTAAGGTAAATTTATTCATTTCTGGCACTCCAATTCTAGGATATAATTAGTTTAGATAGGAAATCTATTGTTTTGCTTGGGATTTTTCTCTCAGGACAAAGTTCATAGTTCCATATGGTTGGAATGAGAGGCCGAGGTTTACATTATTTTTGAAGTGCTACAAACTAATGTTTTGAATCTATCTAGGAACACATGAGATTATTTATCTTTGCTATCCGTACTTTTCATAGTGTCTTTCTATGGTTGGTTTATCTCGTTACATACTGAGGTGTCTAACTTCTGTGCTTAACTCCTGGTCAAACTTTCAGACTTAGGGTAGACAATTATAACTTTCCATGTATGTGCTTGCCTTCAGATCATCTTTTTTACTTTGTTTCCATCTGGGTAGTACTATAAAAAAACAGGTTATTTATCAATTTTTATTACTGTCTAATCTGAGCATGATGAAGGCATTATATGAAGTCATCAAAGCAATGCATAATTTACTGTTTTTAAACTCCATTGGAATTGGCCTTTGAAAATCAGAGAGCCCAAGTTTTAGGACTCATTTATTTTTTGGGACTTCAAATGAACTTAATCATAAACTGTTAAATTCAGAGAATTTGAGAAGAAAAGGCCTAATTTTATTACACAAAATTATCCTATTTATAGATCTATACAATATGTCTTAATAAAGAAACATATAACTACAGAATCATGCATAATTGCCTTAATATAATCCTTTATAAATCAGCCACCCAAATATAGAAGGAGATCGGTGTGATTCAGGTGAGCCTCCCACGGATCCCCATGCTGGCTGTGGGATTAAGGGCCAAGAGATGGTCGAAGTTTAACAACGTGATCTAGGTTAGCTTCCCATGGATTCCTATGTTGTCTGTGGGATCAAGGGCCAAGGAATGGTTGGGATTTTAACTCTTCCCCTCAACCTGGGGGATACAGATCTAACATTCCCAGCTTGGTAATTAATCCCAAAAAAGTAGAGTTATCAAGTCCCTTGGTGCACCATAGAGTTCTTCATTTGGTCAAAACTTTGGGAGAAATTAGCTTCAGACATTGTGGTGACAAAAGGTAGTAATGAAGGCTATATTAAGCAGGGCAGCAATAAATGCTACATTGGTTATAGATAGGATAACAACCACAAGAGAAGGCCAGCAATGAAGGCATGGCAGTAGGAAAAAAATATGTTCTTAGGGTTGTGACAAGCTTCAAGGATAGCAGTAGAAAATGTCTCAAGCGGCTCAGCACTTGGCAAGCAAATCTCCTCCCTTCCGATTTAGCCAACCTTCAGCCCAATGCAAATTAGTCATCTAACTCCACCCAAACACTCATATTCGATCGACCCCGTGCTAATGCACGGAAGGCCTATGATCCCTCTGGTTTAATCGTAGGAAGAAGTGGAGATCTTGCACTCTTGCTTCTCCTGACCCTAGACCCTTACGAGAGGGTACTCTTAGCTATTTCCATATACACACAAGAGAAGGTCATGTGCTCAACTTCTGTCACTTCTGCTCGGTCTACTCTAGACGTTGCACTCAAGAGGAGCCCTCCTGCTCGATCTCTCCTCGGTCTTAGACGCACAAAGGAAGCATAAGGACCAATATTTCTTAGAATTATGACAATAAAGACCGATGGTGGGAATAGGGGCGGAGCCAGGATTTTTCTCAAGTTGGGGCACAAATCATTGAAGTAAAAAAATCCCTCAACCTTTTTCATCCGGGCTTGAGACCGGCATGGACGGTTTTAAAAAAAAAATTTTAATCATTTGATTCATTAGAAAAAAGATAAAACATATGATAAACAAAAAAAGCTTACAATTGAGAACAATAATTTTTGAGATTCTTCTTAACTATCATCTATAATTTCTCCCGTCGAGTCTTCATTTTTTAAAATCGTTGCACAATCAAGCTGTTGTCAATACTATTAAATATATCTTTTTCAATATAAGTAAGTAAACAATCATTCATCCAAGAGTCCCCCATACGATTGTGTAAATGATTCTTTATAATATTCATTGCTGAAAATGCTCGTTCAACTGTTGCTGTAGCAATTGACAATGTCAGAGCAAGCTTTATAAGTAAGAACACCAAAGGATAAATGTCATTCTTCCTAGTCTCCACCATTTTTTGAGCAAGTTCTCCAAGTCCTTTTAAACTCATAAATGCATCATTCGATTTCATATCAACAATGAAATTCTCAATTTGGATGTCTAGTATAATGAGATACATTTCTGAAAAATCTGACGGATAAAATTTTGCAAGACGTAGCAATCGTTCTTTATCAAAAACTGAAAATGTTTGGCACGGATTCAAACATGTCATACACATAAGTAATTCAGTATTAATTTCATCAAATCTGTTGTTGAGCTCTTGAAGTTGCATATCTATAACAGTGTAAAATAATTCGATTTGATAATGATGTGTGTTTGTTATACTTTCAGTACGACGCCTTGATCTTCCTCGCAGTACAAATGTATCAGTCATGTTTGGAATATTTATGTTTTTCTTCTCACAAAATAATCCAAGTTCCTTAAAAAAATTTTTCCACCCATCATTTCTCATATTTTGAAGTCTTTGTTTAGAAACTTTGATCAAAGTCATGGCATTTATAATGTCTTGATCCTTTTTTGCAGTACTTGTGATAACTCATTTGTAACTCTCAATATAGTCTTCATCATATGCAAATTGAAAACGAATTCAAAAGTTTGCATGGTTTCAAGTAGGGAATAAGCTTCGCCTTTCTGCTCACTGCTAGATCCCTCATGTATCAATATCTCAAGAACCTCTGTTATAGATCCATATAAAAGAATTAAACTGATCAGTGAGTTATAATGGGAACCCCAACGAGTGTCTCCTGGCCTTTGAAAAGCAATTTCTTGATTTAAACCTCTACCTTTGGTAATATCTCCACTTTCTAGTTGCTCAAGTATTTTGTCATAATGCTTTCCTCTTAGCATATCTCTTATTTTGCTTGAACAACCAATGATATTTAACAAACTAGTCACACTATTAAAAAAGGAAGCAACTAGGACATGATTCTTTGCGACTGCAACTAATGCTAATTGAAGTTGGTGTGCAAAATAATGCACATAATAAGCTGAATAATTTTCTTTCATGATTAATGTTTTCAGTCCATTAAATTCACCTCGCATGTTACTTGTTCCATCGTAACCTTGACCACGTAGTTGTGCCACACTTAACCCATATTTTGAAAAAAGTGATTCAATAGCCAACTTTAGTGTTAGAGCTGAAGTGTCCTCAACATGAACGATCCTAATAAAACGCTCAATAGTACAACCGTGTGAATCAACATAACGTAATGCAACAGCAACTTGTTCTTTAATTGATACATCACGAGATTCATCAAGTAAAATAGCAAATACATTATTTCTTAGTTCATTGATAATGACATTCGAAACCTCAATTGCTGCAGCTTCTGTGATTTCTTTCTGGATTTCTGGAGCTACTAGTTTATTATTTCGAGGAGCGTTTTCCAACACAACTTTATTGATATCTTCATTATGTCTAGCAAGAAAACGCAAAAGTTCAAGAAAGTTTCCTTGATTCTCTGAATTCTCAGATTCATCATGTCCACGGAATGCTAAACCTTGTTGCAAAAGGAAACGTACACAATCAACGCTTGCATTTAATCATGTACGATAATCTTTGCGATTTTGATCTGAAGGTCTTTCAAAAGCAAATCTGATATCTCTTTCTTGATTCATTAGGTCTTCACATTTACGTCTAGCAATGTTGTGTGCACTGTTGATATTACCAACATGAACATGAAATCTATCATTTTTTTTCCAATTTCTAAAACCCTTCATGTCAAAACTATCTCCGCCAGACTATTCACCATTTTGAGGTCTATACAAATAACAAAACAAACCAATGCTGCATCTTTGCTTGTACTATATTCTAACCAAGTCTTGTGTTCATCAAACCATGCAGGATTAAATCTACGTAATTTATCTCCAAATTTTGTACATGGGAATTCATGATCACGTGGTTGGCATGGTCCTTTCAGCAAGTAATGTCTGCGCACACTATCCCTCTCATTAGGATGAAAATCCATAATTATTTTTCTCAATGCAGGATCGGCAGGGATATCAGCTAAATTTGTTTCTACAAAAACTGATTGAATTTGAGTGTTTTTTTCCAAGGAAAAAAGTTTCTGATCATCTCATTCGAATTTTCTTTTGAAATACCTTTCCATTTCTAATTTTAATAACAACTAGTTTAAGAATTTTATACTTACATAAAAAAAATAATGCTATTAAATTGATTAATAACTAAAATATATACCTGTCAATTGTTACAGATTAGTAGAATACTCAGAAGTCAGAATTCTGTATCCACATAATTCTCCTCAAATTCCAATATCACCTCAATCTACAAAGCCATCACAAAAAATCAGCCCACATATAGACAAACTGCACAGATAAAAAAAAATGCATATGGTTTCGATGGATAAAGTAGGAGTAGATAAAAAAAATGCATCTGAATAAATAAGTCCAAGCAATAATATACATGTAATTTTCGAAGAAAAAAATGTAAAAAATGTCAATACTTTCTAGCTTCTAAGACACTAAATCAAAATGGGGTGAAATAAAAAAGCAACAGAAATCAGCTTCCAACCATAAAAAGCCAATAATTTTTCTACCGCAACAGCGAAACTGCTTCAATCACTCAATGGAAAAGAAAAAAAACTTCTAAAAAGGTCTGTAGTCAGCAAATACAAAATACTAGGGAGCAGGCGAGCAGCGGCGGCTTCCGCCTATGCGATTCTTACCGCCGAGCATGCAAGTCTACGCGATCCTCCTTATCTTTCGCCGTCTGGTCGCAAGAGAGAAATATTTTGAACTTTTTGAGTTTCGTCCCTTTTGGTTTCCCGTCCTAGCGGTAATTTTAGAGCCAAAAACCCTAAATTTTGCTTTAAGTTATAATTAGATAGTAATAAATATATTAAATAAGACATTAAGTAAAAAGTTCAGTGGGGGCACGTGACCCCAGTGCCCCCAACGTAAATCCGCCCCTGGGTGGGAATCTACATTCCACATAATTCTAACAATAAAGACTGGTGGTGGGAACCTGTATTCTTCAAAATTTTGGCAATAAAGGCCAATGTAGGAACCTGTATTCCTCGGAATTCCAACAATAAAGGCTAATGATAGGAACATTTATTCCTCAGAATTCCGATAATGATGGTCGATGGTAGGAACTTGTATTCCTTAGAATTTTGCAATGAAGGCTAGTGGTGGGAATTTGTATTCCTTAGAATTTCGATAATGAAGGCCGGTGATGAGAACCTAGAGAACCAGCAAGTGCCAGCTCCTTCAAGGTAGAATAAAGTGCTTCTAATCTCTTTATAGCCTCACCCTCGATATCCACGATCGACTTCCTACTTAGGGAAGTAGTGCACTTCACCATCTGCATGTTCACCAACTCTTCGGTCATCGTAAGCACGAACTGGACTGTAGTAGTGAATTGTTTTACCACCAAGAAAGCCATATTTTTCCCTACCACACGCATCATCTGGGAAACTCCACATATCAAGACTGTTCCATCGACGAGCTTCAAATCTAGCAAACTGACTTCAGTCCAAATCCGACCGGCAAGGTTCTCAATGACGATTCTGTTAGCGATACTGAAGGAGGTGAGAACGTGGGTTACGAAGTGGTGTTCGTCCGATTTGAGGTATTGATCCCAATAGTGGAGATCTTGGGAGAGGTTGACTTCTTTTACTATCTTGAAATAGGCTTTGGCCTTCTTGTACATCCCCCAGATTTGAGGGTAGCGGATCCGAAACATGCAGAAGCAGTCGGGATTTGGGGGCAAGCAGGGGTTCTTCAAGTGGAGGATTTGATGGCATGTATAATAGCTCTTCAACCACTTGTTCCTTGCTCTGTTCGGCTCCAGCACACAAACGAGTGTCGGTCGTCCTCGCTCAGGCACACATGCAGACAGTTCCTTCTCTCTCCCTCTCTTGATCCTCTTCTTCACTTAGTTAAGGCTCTCAGGTAGGCACGCATGAGAGGGGTCTCGTGTGCCTTCTCTAGCCGCACGCAGATGATCGAAAGGGGAAGCCCTCTCACTTGCTCAGTTGCTCTGGACGACGCGAGTAGGAAGCAGAACGAAAGAGCGGGCTCGCCCTTGATCAAACACAGCATTGAGCGCAATCCCGCTCAATTAGCTCTGAATTACATGTGCAGAATCTTCTGACCGCACATCTTTCTTGTCCCATTCTGTCACATGCATACAAGAGGGGTTTACGAGACGTTCGTTCCTCTCGATTGAACGCAGAGACCGCGGGGTTCTCGCTCGACTCCTCCATACGAGATGCACTAGACGTTTGTCTCTCTCGATCAAACAAAGAGACTGCAGGATGAGGCACTCTCTTGGTTGGACGTACACAGGAACGAACAAAAAGTTCGACAAAAAAAAAAAAAACTCAGAATTCCAATCAAGGCAATGAAGGCTCTAATACCATATTAAATTCAGAGAATTTGAGAGGGAAAATACTTAATTTTATTACACAAAACTTTCCCTATTTATAGATCTATACATGGTGTCTTTATAAAAAAACAAATAACTACATAATCATGTATAATTGACTTGATATAATCCTTCCCAAATCAGCCACCCAAATATAGGAGATCGGCATGATCCAAGTGAGCCTCCCACGGATCCTCGTGCTGGCCGTGAGATCAAGGGCCAAGAGATGGTTGAGATTTAACAGTGTGATCTAGGTGAGCCTCCCATAGATCCTCATTTTGTCCGTGGGATCAAGGGCCAAGAGACGGTTGGAATTTTAACATAAACTCACAAACATGTATTTACAAAACCCGAGATCTTCTAGGCTACATGGTTTTGGGATTTTCATTGTGATATTCAGATTATATAATTTATTATGTTAGGGAATATAAGCATTTTATCATTTATGGTATGCATATTAAAATAGATTCCTTTTTTTTTTAATATGATAAGTTTCAAATGAGATTGATATTAAATTTTTACGTTGCTCAAGCTTCTGTATCAATACCTTTTTTTTCTTAAAATATCTTTTGAAGAAATTTTGCTGACGAGTTTGCATCTTTTAGCTATACAAGGAATTTGCATGCCCTCTAGACGGCTTTGAGCTGGTACTCTTCTCCATGTCTGGTTCCGATGGAAAGTCCTTTCCTCTCTGTCCCTATTGCTACAATTCCCCCCCATTTGAAGGAATCACCACTCTATTTGGTTCCATTAAGCTTGGGAATTCTGGAAAACTAGGCAAAGGAGCAGGCATGCCCTGCTTTCTTTGTCCTCATCCAACATGTCGACACTCCATGATTACACAGGGAGTATGTGCTTGCCCTGAGTGCAGTGGGACACTTATCCTTGATCCAGTCAGTGCTCCCAAATGGAGACTCTACTGCAACATCTGTAATTGCATGGTCTCCCTTCCACAGGGCGCGCATCGAATCTCAACCACTAGCAACAGATGCCCTGATTGTGATTCCTTAATCATTGAAGTAGACTTCAATAAGAAGACAACACCTCTAAGTGATGGAGCTACATTGTATTCTGGCTGCATATTGTGTGATGAATTGCTGCATTCTCTCATTGAAATGAAGCACGGCAAGTCGTTCTTTAGTCGAGGAAGAGGTAGAGGAAGAAGTCGAGGAAGAGGTGGCAGGGGTCGAGCTAGAGGTGGCTCAAAGAATGATGATCCGAAAATGAGCTTTCGAGATTTCTAAAAGGAATAACTGGTTCATTCATGCATTCTATTTATTGCTTCCTGGTTAGTCTTTCCTTTATCCTTCTCCCAATTCTCCTTTGTTGGCTTACTGATTGTCTAATTCTATTTTCGGTTTGTTCTAGTGATGTCAAGGAACAAGAATTGAAGGATTTGGTGATTTCGTTACTAAGTGAAACTGAAAATATCAAGATCTATCCCTATGTTTAGGGCTATCACAGCCTTAGAGCATTAAATGCTTCCAAAAAGCTCTCCCTACGGACTTGCAGAAGTTGTATTATTTGTACAGAATGTCTTCATATCATTATCATCCTGTAAGAACCGGAAAGGCTAGCAATACTATCTGGTGTTTATGCAATTTGAATAGCTTAAAATTGTTTATTCATTTGCCTTGACATTTCCTTTATTTCATTTTCATAATTTTTTATGTCAGAAGTATATAACTGTGTTTAAACATTTGCATGTTTTGTGGAAGATTATCTGGGTTTCTTTTTTATTGTAAGCTAAATCTAGGTTTTAAATTTTGGTTTCAGTTTCCATGGTTTTGGCAGGTTTGCTCGGGATTCAATTTTGCTTGTTTCAACATAGTTTCATCCCCAAAACTGTCGAAACCAATTGAAGCAAAAAAAAAAAAAAAGCTACATTGATCCAAATTTTCCCAAAGTGTTAGACCTGAAACAATCCAGCCTGGACTGGTTCTGGTTTACACCTGCCAGTCCAGACAAGGAGGGGCGGACATAAAGGGGAGGGGGGGGAGTCTTGGTGGGGCCCAAGGCTTAATTAAACATTGTTTGAGAGGAAAAATTGGAATTAGGGGCAGTTTAGGGATTATGTAATGTTCTCTTTGCTTTACTTAGTCTCTCTGATTAGTGTTTGGGGAGAATCTTGAATTAGAATAAAAAATTTGAGATATCTTGGGTGCTTGGGTTCTAGTCGCTTGGCTAGAGATTAGGAGAGTCGTTTCTTCCTCTCGAATTGAAAAAGCTTGTATCGTTGTTGTTTTTCTTTGTTCTTTAGTGAAATCCATCGTGTCTCTCAAATTTATAGTTTTTCTTAAGTTGTTTGTTAGACCGGTCCAGTCGGTCCGCACGGGACTGGTCCATCGCAACAAACGCGAGATCTCCGCCTCCTGCGGAATCAGGCTGTCTGAACGCCCAAGCGGAGCTTTTTAGGAAGAATTTTTTAGGGATTTGGAAGGGAAATTTGAATGTAGGGACTCTTTAGGGATTTCCTTTTGATTTGCATGCATTAAAGACTTTGTTTTCCTAGGGTTATGGCATCTTGAATTTGACTGAAATTTGAGGTCTCTTAGATTTTAGGTTTCCTTTGGGCTCCAGCGGCGTCTAGAGATTTGGGAGAGAAATATCCTCCTCTCGAGTAGAGGTCAATTGTATCTTGGTATTTTCCGTTTCCATTTTATCAAATATTACAAATTATCTACTGTTTTCCTACTTTTGTGTGAATTTTTGTGGAGAATTCTCGCTGTTTTTCGAAGATTAATAGGAAACATTTGAGATCTTCTAGTGATTCATATCATTGTTGTTGCTCAATTGCTGTTTTTCATCCGAAGACAGCAGATTTTCTGCTTGGAGGTAACTACTTCCTTCAGACTCCTGCATTATGTTTCTTTTCTCTGAAGAAAATTTGATTTATTAACACATACATGCAGGTATTTGCCATCTAAACTAGGTGATTCAAGTAAGCAGGTAAAATCTAAGCTGTCAAAAATTACTGTTCAGCCCTGGTAAACTACATTACCATTATTCATATCATTAATTAGGCTAATATTCATCATCAATTTTCCCACCTGCAGCTCTAATCTAATCTCATGGATACCTCTGTGAGCTTCATTCTGTGAGACTCACCCTTTTCAGGTAGGACGTGAGCACTGGAGCAGGCTCTTTCGGCTCAAAAACTGATGTGAATCCAGTGCTTTGTATTAAGCGTTATATGGGTAATAAACTGATTCATTTTTTAAGCTGGAAAGTTTAAGATTTGATTGATGTGTTAGTTTTTAGTTACCAAAGCTGGTAGCAGCAACTAGGCAATTTTTTGCTCTTTAAAGTCTCTTGATGGTAATTGTAGTTTCTTCTGTTTGCTTCCAATCTTTCTGCTATTTAAGGAATTCGCAGGCCTTTTACAAGTCTCTTGACAAGATCTTAAGTAATTTCTTTGTATTTTTATTTTGGCATTGATTTTTGTGATGGGTTTTTTAAGGGCAAGGCATTACTATAATGCAATTTGGGCTATAGTTGATAGATTTATAAAGTATGTGCATTTCTTACCCATGTGACATAATGATACAATAGCTAAGGTAGCTCAATTATATGTAATAGTCATTAAGAGATTGTGCAAAGTGTATGAAATTATTGAGTCAGATTGTGATGACAGATTCACTTCAAGGTTATAATGAGGAATCCAAAAAATATTAGTGCAAAACTTAGTTTCATTAGAGCTTATCATCTTCAAATAGAAGGTTAATCTGAGAGGGTGATGTTCTATGATATGCCTTGAAGATGAAATCAGTAAGAAAAGACAGTAAAAATAGCAGAAATTGAGAAATGATGGCTGGTTTTTTGTATTAAAACTTCAACACCAAAATAAGATATAATTATCCACTATTAGAGAGGTAGATCATCCTCCTCCTCCCACTTGACCTAGAAGCCGCTAGGAAGCCCTCAAGAAAACTCCAGAAAAAACTACAGCAAACTCTACAAACAAAATATGAAAAATAAATCTTAAAATCATCCCTAAATAAACTCCTTAATTCCCTCCAAAAACAGCCCCCTTAGTTAATTTTTTTGTATCTTTCCCTATTTCAAAATTAGGATTATTTCCATTCTTATGTCCTCTCATAGTATATTTAATTAAATCTTTGTTGGGCCTTACAATGGGGGCCGAATCTGCTACCTTTTTCCCTTTAACAATACTCCCATCATTAAAATCTACGATGTCCTCAAGGTGGAAGGTCGGAAACTGTCTTCTAATTATCTCATATGGCTCCCATGGGGCGTCATGCTCTTGCACATCCTTCCACTTGATTAGCACCATCCGTGCCCTAGTCTACCCTCTGTGCACCCCCGTTACTTTCAGAGGTTCCAAAATGGCCTTGATGTCCTCTATCAAAGTCGATATTACTGATGATGGTATCTGCTCTCCTATCGCTTTCCTCAATTGTGAGACATGAAATATTGGGTGCAAAGCTGATGAGGGTGGTAGTTTTAAGCGATGAGCTATTGCTCCAATGTGCTCCAATATCTCATAAGGCTCAAATTATCGTTGGGATAACTTCTCATTCCTCCTAGCTAGTGTTTTTTGCCTGTAGAGCCTCAATTTTAAGTAAACTATATATTCGGGTTCAAAGTTTACTTCTCTCCTATGTTCATTAGCTTTCCTCATCATGATCTGTTGGGCTCTCAACAAATGTCTCTTGAGCTCAAAGAATACATTGTCCCTCTCCTTTAAGTACTGCTCTACACTAGACACATGCATGGTGCACTGACCATAATGAATCAGATGGGGTAAGAATCCTGAAAGGAGTGGTCTTCACTGTTGAATGGAACGAGGAATTGTACCAATACTCTACTCAAGCAAGCCACCTTGCCCAACTCTTTGGCATGTCAAATGCAAAATATCTCAAATAGGCCTCTATGCTTTTGTTGGCCACTTCTGTTTGGCCATCTGTCTAGGGGTGATAGGTTGTACTTCTCTTCAGAACTATCCCCTGTAACTGAAACAACTCTCTCCAAAAGTGGTTAAGGAATACCTTTTCCTGTCTGCCACAATGGCTTCTGAAACTCCATACAGGTGCACCACTTTATTTATGAAGACAATAGCCATAGTAACGCTCGTATAAGAGTGCCTCAAGGAAATGAAGTGTGCATATTTGCTCAAATAATCCGTTATTACTAGTATCAACGAAAACCCCTCGGATCGTGGCAATCCCTCGATGAAGTCCATCGTCAAGTCCTCCCATACCCTCTTCGGTAGGGCTAATGGTCGTAGTAACCCTGTTGACGACATGGCCATGTACTTGTGCCTTTGGCACACATTGCATTTAGCTACCCAATCCTCTACATCACGGCACATCCCAAACCAATATAATTATGCTGCTAATCAACTGTAGGGTTTTTGTGCTCCTAAATGCTCCATACCCTCCCACTGCACTGCCATGAAACTCTTATAACAGCTTAGGAATGTATCCTAATAACAACCAACTCCATCACACAATGTTTCCTTCTCAACAGTCAAACACATTAGTCCTACATGATTCACGACATCAATTCTGCTAGTTAAATTGCAACAGTCTAAGATGCCAATTGGCGCAATGCATTAAATCATGAGTTTCATGCCCTATGATCGCAAGCTACATGGAGTTTGGTTCCACCCTCTACGCCAAATGTCTTTGGTTGCAAGTGGATGTTGAAAACCAAGTACATTGTTGATGGAATAATTGATCATCGCAAGGCTCACCTTATAGCCCAAAGTTACAAATAGGAGTGTGGCTTGGAATACATGGAGATGTTTAGCGTAGTTGCAAAAATATGTCAACCATTTTACTCATTATAATTGTATCACTAATAAATGGTCCATTTAATTGAATGTTTTGAATTTTTTTCCTTCATGCCACTCTTAATGAAATGGTGTTTATGTCACAAATTAAAGGGTTCAAGGACTATGAATTCTCAAATTATGTTTGTCTTCTTAAGAAAGCTATATATAGCCTTAAACAAGCTCCTCAATAGTATTTTGTTGCTTTCTTAGGTTTTCTTCAAACTCATGATTTTGTGTTTAGTGTTGCTGATCCTACCCTTATATTTAACAAAGAAAGCATGCAGATGTACCTATTAGTATATGTCGATGATATAATACTTAATGGAAACGATTCCAAAGCTATTGTGGCACTTCTAGATAGCCTTCAACCGAAGTTTCATGTGGAAAATTTGGACCATCTCTCTCTTAATTGGAAATCAATCACGAGATACTATGCATTTCTTGGCAAGACTTTGATTTCTTGTTATGTTAAAAAGCAGAATAAAATGGCCTAGTCAGTCATAGAAGTCAAATATAAGGCTCTTTATTCAAATACTATTGATATCACATCTCAACAACTATTCTGATAGGTAATGCTTGTATTCACAAATAAACCTAACCCAAATCAAGTACCTAAGCAAGGAAATTCTGCTGTCCACAGCGAAAACTCAGCCCAAACAGTGGAAAAAATGAGAGAAACGCAAGGAAAAATCGTAGGGAAACGAAGCAAACACTTTTATTTCAAGAATAGATAAAAAGCACTTGCAAGATACAATTTTCCTTCAATTCGAGAGGAAGAAAAAACTCTTCACTATCTCCGGCAACGCCAAGAGCCAAAGCAAACCCTAGATCTCAAAGAGAAAACTCAAATTCAAGATGAGGTGCCAATTCCCCCCCAATCTCCTAATTAAACAAAATAATCA